TAAAACACTGTGGCTACTGACAGCTTCTAATTCATTGCAGGCCTGCTTTTACATGTGTTTTTTTTTCCTGATCGTGGCAGTGACACAACTGTCCCATGAACTTTATGCGAACAAACTATTGCTTGTACAGATGATTTTGGGATCTGAAGCTGCTTTGAAGTGGCTTCAAGTGACTTTCCTGACTTGGTCAAGTCAATGATTTGCTTTTTCAGGTCTTTGCTGAGGGCTGTAAGGTGGCTCGGTGGATAGCACCATCGCCTCGCAGGTAAAAGGTCAGCAGTTCGCGTCCTGGTGAGGACACCCAGGATCTTTCTGCGTGGAGTTTGCACGTTCTCTCTATGCAGCGTGGGTTCTCTGCGGTTTCTCCAGCTTCCTCCTACAAGTCCAAAAACATGTTGAGGTTAGTTGGTGATTCTAAATTGTGAATGTGAGTGTTCTTGGTTGTCTGTCTCTAAGTGTAGCCCTGCGATAGACTGGTGACCTGTCCAGGGTGTCCCCTGCCTTCACCCTGAGTCAGCTGGGATAGACTCCAGCCCCCCGTGACCCTAGTGAGGATTAAGCGGTGTATAGATAATGGATGGATGGAGGTCTTTGCTGAGCTGCTCACACTTTCCCACTGTAGTTTTTGTGGTTGAGTCTAATGAGTGGATCAAATGGACCCTATTTAAATTGGTTCAGAGGAGTCAGCAGCTGTAGTCCATTGTAGTCACTCCTGAGCCATTAAGAGGCCATAACACAAAGATAATTTGATTAACACAAACTGTCAATTCAAGTTGCTGTATTTATATTTTTGACCCAGAAGATTTTGTCATATTTTCAGAAGACCTTTAATAAATCTATGAAAGAACCAATATACATTGTTTTTTTGTGACAAAGAAAATTAAGTGGTTTAGGAATCGTTGGAAACAGTGTTTGTTGTCCATAGCTGTTTTAGACTGTGTGAAAAGCTTCTCCTTTCTTTTATTAAATTATTGCTGCCATCTAGCGGCAGCAGGACACATGTTAAGAAATCTAAAGAGAGCGAAGAACCCTGGAATCAACCCTATTTGAAAATGTAAACACTGTTTTGCATGTCAATACATTACCAGTTCACGACAGCGATCAGTGTTCAGCGTTTAGGTTACTTTAATGTTTGTAAATACCTTTATTCAAAGTGAGTGACATGTAAAAACTTCACAGACATGACAAGAATATGTTGTCATTGTGTGAAAAGGGTTAAACACATGCTGTCTCCTCTTCCTGAATGAATCAGCCTGATAACCCTCCCTCCTCCTGTTGCTCTCAAACACAGCAGCTCCACTCTGTCAATATATTTCCTGGTTCCCTCCCCTTTAGATCTGCACTGTGAGGATGGGTGGAACCAACATGGGGGAAGTGGAAGAGCTGAAAGGCCCCATTCGCTTGCAGGATCACATGATGTAGAGATCATAGATCAGACTGGTTTCAGGTACAAGGAAGTGAAACTCAGTCAGTCAGTCAGTGCTGCTCAGAGGGGAAAATGGCTCAGAAAGGAGTTCAGCTAAACCGAGAAACGTTTTCTTGTTCGATCTGTCTGGATCTACTGAAGGATCCGGTGGCTATTCCTTGTGGACACAGCTACTGCATGGAATGTATTAAAACCCACTGGGATGAAGAGGACCAGAAGGAAATCTACAGCTGCCCTCAGTGTAGGCAAACCTTCACACCGAGGCCTGTTTTGGTGAAAAACACCATGTTGGCAGTTTTATTGGAGGAGCTGAAGAAGACCGGACTCCAAGCTGCTGCTGCTGATCCCTGCTGTGCTGGAGCTGAAGATGTGGCCTGTGATTTCTGTACTGGGAGGAGGCTGAAGGCTGTCAAGTCCTGTTTAGTCTGTCTGGCCTCTTATTGTGAGAAACACCTTCAGCCTCACTATGATGCACCTCCATTAAAGAAACACAAGCTGGTGGAGCCCTCCAAGAACCTCCAGGAGAACATCTGCTCTCTTCATGATGAGGTGATGAAGATGTTCTGTCGCACTGATCAGCAGTCTATCTGTTATCTCTGCTCTGTGGATGAACATAAAGGCCACGACACAGTCTCAGCTGCAGCAGAACGGACTGAGAGGCAGAAAGAGCTGGAGGTGAGTCGACTAAACATCCAGCAGAGAATCCAGGACAGAGAGAAAGATGTGAAGCTGCTTCAACAGGAGCTGGAGGACATCAGTGTCTCTGCTGATAAAACAGTGGAGGACAGTGAGAAGATGTTCAGTGAGCTGATCCATCTCATCCAGAAAAGAAGCTGTGATGTGAAGCAGCAGATCAGATCCCAGCAGGAGACTGAAGTGAGTCGAGTCAAAGAGCTTGAGGAGAAGCTGGAGCAGGAGATCAGTGATCTGAAGAGGAAAGACGCTGAGCTGAAGCAGCTCTCAGATACAGAAGATCACAACCAGTTTCTCCACAGCTACCCCTCAGTGTCAGCACTCAGTGAGTCCACACAGTCATCCAGCATCACCATCCGTCCTCTGAGATACTTTGAGGACGTGACAGCAGCTGTGTCAAAGGTCAGAGACAAACTACAGGATATTCTGAAGAACACATGGACAAACATCTCACTGACAATCACACAACCAGATGTTTTACTGTCAAATTCACATTTAGAACCAATGTTCAGAGCTGATTTCTTAAAGTTTTCACGTGATATCACACTCGATCGAAACACAGCAAGCATACATCTGTTATTATCTAAGGGGAAAAAAAAGGCAACATTAGTAACTGAATGCCAGCCTTATCCTAAGCACCCAGAGAGATTCACTGAATGGTGTCAAGTCCTGAGCAGAGAGAGTCTGACTGGACGTTGTTACTGGGAGGTTCAGTGGAGGGGAGGTGGAGGTTATGTAGCAGCTTCATACAGGACGATAGACAGAGGGCGGAACTGGAAGGACTGTAAGTTTGGACATAATGAGAAATCTTGGGCATTAAAATGCTACCAAAACACTTATGAATTTTTCTACAACAAGATTTCAACTCCTGTCTCAGGTCCTCAGTCCTCCAGAGTAGGAGTGTACCTGGATCACAGTGCAGGTATTCTGTCCTTCTACAGCGTCACTGAAACCATGACTCTCATCCACAGAGTCCAGACCACATTCAGTCAGCCGCTGCATGCTGGACTCTGGGTTGTTGGCTCTGCTGAGATTTGTAAACTCAATTAAACGGAAGTCTTATATCTGTGTTCAGGGCAGGAACACAACTCTTAACTTGTCACAAAGTTGTTCTGTAACTGCTGGACATGTAAATGATTGGGTTAAAACTTGATGATCAGTGTTCATAGCAGAGGTGTTAATGTTGAATGTTTCACGTTTTAAAAAAAAGAGCAGAAATCATTGATTTTCTTTTCTGATTTTAATGACTGTGGTTTTGATTTTCACTTTTCAGTATTTTGTGATCAAAGACCAATCCACGATTTTTAATTAGTTTTTATTTAAATTGCATTGTTTACTTTCACTGCTGTGATGATGATTGAAAAAAAAAATTGATCTCTGTCGATAGCTGGACAGATTTTGCCAGCTGCGTTTATTTTTCTCTATGAGTTCAGTTCATTGCTGACATTCAGAATTCCACACCACATGTTGAACATACGTCAACCAGATTCACACTCACCTTCTGTGAAGTTTTTGTTTTCTAACTCAACAGTCAGTGGAAGTTGGAACATTTTCTGGAAAACTCTCAGTATTCTGTGTGAAGTGTAAAGATGTTTATAGTGCCTGTGAAAAGTGAAGCATGGTGGTGGCCATGATGCAACATCATGATGCTGCCACCACCGTGCTTGGCCATGCTTGATCATTGTAAAACAATAGAAGGAAAAAAAAAACTTTCAAGGGGAGTGACTACTTTTTTATAGGCACTGTAAAACTTAAGACAGTGTCCGCCATGAATCATATATTTGTTCAAAGGTTGAAAGTCATCAGAATAAGATAAGCTTTTTGGTTTCTTTGCTGGAGACCGGTTTTCTGGATCTTGTTTGTCAGTAGCTCCTCCAGCAAATTTTACAGTTTTGTCTAAAATGTTCTGCATGTGTTTGCATTCATTTTAGTTTGTGTTTGCAGGAGATTTATGTTGAGCAGTGTGACTTGTTTGATTTTAAAGTGACACTTAATGTGAATTATTTTCCTCTTATTATTATTATCTGTTATGATCTGCTTGTACGACCACACTGGGGATTAATAAAATTATTGTTGATTTAAATGAGTTGCTGCTCATTGTGCTGGAATGTGGCAAAGTCTGATAACACTCCTTCCATCTGCTCTCAAACACAACTCATCCCTTCCCACGTCTAAGGTTTAAAATGGACTGACAAGAGTAGAGTTGGATTAGACTAGGCCGTTAAAACACTAGTAAAATGAAAATGCTGCATATTACACCCATATATATAACATAAGTTTTTAAGCTGATTAAATTAAGTTGTTCCAACTAGTTTTACTGTATATTTGTATATTGTATATTTTAGTTCAAAATTAGTTAGGTTGATCTCTATAAATAGTAATGCTGTAGGGTCTTGGACTTAATATTTAAATTAGTCACGTTAACCTCTGCATTTAATAATACTAAAGGGTCTTAGCTGTAATATTACATTGGTGAGATTATGTTTCATATTTCACAACATATTAATCATTAAAAAATAAAAAACAACAAACTGTTAATATTGTCCATATGTGCCATTTGTATAACGGTGACTTTACTTGGCAGCAAGTACATGTTATTTCCAGGTTACTTAAAAGCAATTTTTAAGTGTTATGTACTTAAATATCATAGTTCAGATTTAAGTAGGCAATGAGAGGACTTTAAATCCTGACCTGAGTGAAAAAATCATTTATTACGTGAATTTCATTTAGTTACCTCAACTTAAATAACATGAATTTTGCTGTAAGCTGTGTTCTTTTAGATAAAAGAGAAAGAAGTAATGCTGTTGACTATTGAGAATTACTGTCTTCTCTGCGTGTTCGTTTCTAAAGATGAGATCGGATTCAATTCGGTCTCAATCAATCAATTTAATTACACATTGAATATTGCATTACAGAGCTCTGGGTCAAACTTTCCCTGGCATCAGACAAAGCAAGACTACTCCTGTTGCCTCTGACCCTTCTTTTTACTACTCAGTCACGTGATGCCTGGTCAGGTCGTAAAACAACTGATTAGGGCCCATCTTCATCACACTGAACGGTTGCATCCTTATATGGACTTCTTTTGCTCCGTCTGTTGTTTGTCCTGTGAAACCATAAAAGAAACAGACCCAAGCAACTTCTTCAAAAGAAAACATTTCATGACGATGTGCATATATGTAACTTCTTTTATATTTTAAACCTTAAGGACTATACTTCACACATGATATAATATATTTATACACAACATGACTCTGAAGTCAACTGGAAGAAGGTTCTTTATTCTGATGAGACTATGAGATGCTGTTTGGCAGACACCAAACACTGCACATCATCACAAACACTCCATCCCCACCATGAAGCATGGTGGTGGCAGCATCATGGTGTGAAGGATGGTGGTGGAAGGTGCAAGGATCGGATCAGTCATGGAAAGGCAAGTTTTTATGTCTTGTACTTTTCAGCAACAAGGCAATTCAGAGTATTACATAAAACATAAAAAGCATCAAGACAAACTGTAAATGAAACATAAACCAATGTGAAAACAGCATTTCAACACAATTAATTAAAATAGCTAAAAACAAAATTAAAAAGGAAGATAATGGGAATGTGAAGTTAGAGTGTTGTGTGAAATATTCAGAAGAAGAAGGTTTTTGTCCTTCAACAGCATCTCTGAAACCATGACTCTCCTCCACAGAGTCCAGACCACATTCACTCAGCCGCTGCATGCTGGACTTTGTGTTTACTACACTGGAGAATCTGCTGAGATCTGTCAGCTCACAAACAAAGGGAATTTTTCATTCTTCAGAGGGGTTAAATGTGTGCTAGTTTTGCATTTCATTTTCTCTCCCTGATTGTTGCGATGCTTCTTTGCTGCACAGAGATCAGCTGTCAGTCCAGCATCATGATAGTACTTTGACATGTTCTCAACAGCTGTTGTGTTGATGTGATTAAGGTTGTTTCTTGTGTCTGTTCAGCCACGGAGGCTGTCTCTGCTCATGATGATTTTTACTTCAAACATGAAAATGTAAACTTCTCTGTGCTCTGCATGTCTAATAAACATTTGTATTGATTAATTTTCTCCACTTCCAGATGTGCAACATTTTTAATTATGCATGTCACATTTCTGGATTTGGAGCCTGATTCTCTTCATGTTTGTGCTTTTTCATTGGGTTTCCTTCAGCATGCCTACAAAACATTATAACAAATACTCTTAAAACTGTCAGTATTATTGTTAAGACAACATTCCTTTTCCTATATTGCATGTGAATGATGTGACTCATACTATATTGAATTACAGTCCAATTATTATTAATTTTATTAACTGTTCAGTCCAGAAATTCAGGAAAAACCTCAGACTGACTGTGTGGGAGTTTTACTTTATTGACTGATGAGAACAAAGTGCATTTATGTTAGTTTCAGCAGAGAAATGACCTGAGTATAACACAGCTGATAACATCACTATCATATTCTCTATAACCAACTTTGAACATCAGTATTATGGGATGTATCATAGTTTGATTTGCATGTGTAATTGATGGTTGGTTATCACAAGTTGAAGAGAATAAAAGGCCTCATTTTTATCTACATTTCATACCAGCTGATCATCTTCTAGACACGATTCCTTCTGTTTTAAAACCGTTTTCTTTTTCAGATTTGGTTGATTTGATCTGGAATGACCTGTGTAGGCTTTTACTTTTACCTTTGCAGATTTTGAGTTCTCCACTAGAGGTCGGTGTTTGCAAACATATTCCTCTGATATGTCTTGTGTTTTTGTCTGTCAGTACAAACTGGACACTATTGCCAAAAGCATGCAGACATGCCTGCCTGTTTAGTCACATACAGCATGTAACAGAAGTACAGGTAATGTCATTTGAATTAAAAGTTGTAGCACCTCACAGTAATCACATTACTACTGAGTTGAACAGCAGACTATTTGCTCTGATGTCTGATTAAAACCCAACAGTTTAGGTTTACTATATTCAAGATTCAGGCCCCACGGTAGGAACTAAAGACAACAAAAGTCAGTTCACTTTATATTGCTATGATTCAAATCTGTCATTTTTTCATGTACTTTGAATGTCCATCTGTATTTTAGATAACAGAATCAATCCTCTTTAGCATAAAGGATACCAGAGTCCACTCATTCCTTCAGAGATGTCCTCACATTCTTCACACTGTTTTATTCAGCTGCTCTTTGCTGGAGGGGTTGTGTTGCTCTACTTTTCTCTTTGAAATACCCCAAAGGGCTTCTTGGATTCAGGTCAGGACACACACTGTCCAGGTTGTAGTTTTCACTTTGTTCCTGTGTAGAACCTCTTGTGTGATTTAGTTCTTTAAATGGTTCTCCTTCTGGAATATTTTGCTTCTTCTAGTTTCTGCTGACTGCGAGTCATCTTATCAGTCAGTATTCTGGTTTATCCTCAGACATTCATCTATAAATGTCCTCAACACCTTTTACACTCATGCAGCCTCTTACCATCACTCTCCCTCCTCTGTGCTTCACTCTCAGGATGATGCATTCACTGTCCTGGTCAGGTTCACGCCAAACATGCTGGACTCCATCTGAGAACAACAACTTTATATTCTGACCAAAGAATGTTCTTTAACATTCATCAGGCTTCTTTTCATGTTCTTTAGCAGACTTTCATATGGAAGTTTTGTTCTGAGCAGCGATTAAGTTTTTTTCTTGTCCTCAATCCAGAGAAGTTGAAGTGTCCTTCACACTGAGCTTCACAGAAACTCTGGTTTCTATTGATGTGCCAAGTCTGAAGCAGCTGTTTTTCCACTGCTACATTGTGAAAGTAGTTCATTGTCCATGGAGTCATTTTAGGAGGACGACCACTGCAGCTCTGTTTAGTGGTGCTATGGTTCCTTCTATACCTCCTGATCACTGCTGACACTGTAGTTCACTGATTTTTAGTTGTTCACGGATCTTAACACATCCTTTTCCATCTTTGTGGAGTCTCACAGTCAGATTTTTCAGTTCCTCTGTTCAGTTCTTTTATATGTGGAGCCATGATGCAGACATAGACAGTTGATAAAAATAATTTTCTTTAGATTTTTGTCACCAAGTATTTTATATTAGAAAATATTCTATGTGTATTGTTTTATATTATTGTGAGATGCAGCTACAGATGGATCCAAAAATGTCCCTAGTTGACTTCTGCATTATAATTTCTTTTTGTTTATACGACTAAAACGTTTCATGGCAGCTTCATTTTATCCCCCTAATATTTCAGTTCACCCATAATCAGAGACTATTTGATTTACTTGTTCCATATTGCAGACTATGAATCAATGACATTATGAGAAATAACAATAATTGCAGGCTTTTATTTGTAGTAGTTTCTGAAATATTGCAGTTCAGACTTGAATTTCAGTGTGTGTAGAAATTTGCTAAAAATGGGTCAATGGGCAATTTTTAAAATGGTATCTCGGAAACGATTACAATTTCACAAACACCTTTATGAGTATACATATTTATGCTCCCAAAAAATAGAGAAATTAGAGATGGCTGAGCAGAAATAGTTGCAAAAATCTGATGATTTGAGATGGAATGACCCGTGTCTTTAGTTTCAGTGATCACAGGTGAATTCACTTTTGTTACATTACGTTTCTTCTAAAATCGTTCTAAAATGTTTTATTATTATTATTGTTTATAAGAGGACTTAGAAATAATGCTAATATTCAGAGGAGATGCAGATTTGAATCATTTGACATTAGAGGTTTTCTCACTTCTGTTTCAAAATGTATATCACTGCAGGGCCACATGTGATCCTGTTATATCCAGTTTTAGCTTAAACCTAAATCATGTGTGTGTTCTACTGCCTTATTTTTGTATTTTGCCTTTATGTTTTTCTGTGATTATTGGTAAAATTTGCAGCCCTGCTTGGTGATGCTGTTCCTGTATTTTGAAGGCGGATTGTCATTGTTTAACTGCGGGCAATTGACGGAGCTCAGACTGAAGATGTTTTCTTGGTGAGATTTCTAACGGGAGTCGGTATTTGTCGTGTTTTCTCCCGCAGAAGGTAGAGAGTAGTTCGGATGTGAAGTTTTAAAGACGCTGGTCTCTGCAGAGTTTCGGGTCAGTGCAGCGCAGCGTCATCCTTCGTGTTGTTTAATTCATCGGTGAGTTAGCAGTTAGCTCACCGGCTAGCTCACCGATGCAGCCGCTCTGCTTTCCAAAATAAAATCCTTGTAGTGCAACACTTTTTATAGTGAAGCATTTAACAGGTCTGAGCTGCTAAATTGGACACGTTGCGGTTCATTTTCCAGAATGAGCTAACTTTTAAATAATTAGCTTCTCTCCGAACTTGTAATAAGCCAACATTAGCGTGCTATCTATTAACCTGGCTCCATGTGACTAGTTTATTGAGGTTAAAATGTTGTCATAACTTGATTTTTTTTTTTTACTGGCCGAATTTATAAGCAGACAGGAACGATTCAAACACCTGTATAGGTATGATCAGATATGTAGGACAAATAAATACACAGAAAAAAAGTCTTAAATTTTACAAAGAGTTAATGTAATTTAGCAGTGCTTTGAATTTTACTTTTAGTACATAGTAAAGGGGTTCCACTTTAAGTTTGAGTTTTAAACATGAATGCTTTACTACAAGTTTGAAATATTGCATTGCAGAATGAAGTGTATGGTTTTATTTTGCTAAAAGCGGTTTAATTTACTGGTTGATTAGATGTAAAACGTAGCAATTACTTGTTTGTTTTGCTGGACGAATTCATCAGTAGACAGCAACAGTCACACTCGTGTGTGGGTTTGATAAGATATGTAGGACCCATGAAGCCAGAGAAAGAAAAAATCCTAAATCTACAGGAAGTCAGTGGGATTCAGCAGTGCTTTGAAATAAAGATATGTTGGTTTCTAAAACAAAGATTTTAGGGCAACTTTATATCTTAAATGTAACAGTTAATCCAACATCAATAAAACAACAACAAATCAAAACGACTGATAATAAACGTGTATGTGTTGCGACAAACGAACCACGAGCTTCCACAGTAAAGCTACGGCTTTTATTTTGAAGAGCAGCTGTACGGGGTGCGTGTGTTCACTGTACGCCTTGACGCAGTTGTTTTGGAAACAGAGACGGACCAGCTGAGCAGCACTGCAGTCATCTGCGGCTCTGCTCCGTCTCTCCTTTCTCTCCCCGGTTCCCTCGACGCCTCCGGTCCCGCTGATTCCCATCTCCTCTCACTCCTCTCCAGGAACTCACGCAGGGATCTGGCCGCTCCATGAGCGCCTCTGCAGCTCGCTGCTGCGGCCACAACATCGGAGTCGGGGTTGCCCTTGACTCGGTGGAGGAGTTCGGAGAAGGGGGGGCTCGATCATGCAGAGCGGAGTGACGTTGTGACTGTGATCCATTCAGGGATGCGGCTCTGCGCCTTCCTTCCATCCCTGCCGGCCGCGGAGCAGCAGCGTCCTGCCGAGAGAAGCATCTGCGGGCAGCCGCGGCCCCGGAGCTCCGCCGGACTAGCTGAGGAGGCCTGAGCGGTCTCCACCTCCGGATTAGATGGTGGCAGAAGGCAAGTGTGCATGACAAGATAAACAAACCCGGAGGCTGTCCTGCCTGTGCTGCAGATAAGCAGAGCTGCAAGTGTACTTCCCATTGGCTGCCATTGTTGCTTTTTTGGGCCTCTTTGGGCTTCACAGACTGTTTGTGGGAGTAGATGTACCTTTTAATAATAAATGTGATGGGCAGCAGCCGCTGAACTATAAATGTAGGCTTGAACTGGTTTGTTTTTCTAACCCGTAAAAAGACTGAAAATGATGGCCGACCACGAGGATGCAGAGCTGTCCGAGTCCCTACAGAAGGAGGACGGGTTCTCCAGCGAGCTGGAAGAGCCTGGTACCAACTTCAAATCTAAAAGTTTGCCTATTTTGAACGAAGCAGCGCCTCAAGAGAAAACCTTGCTGGCTAGCTCAGGACGGATGTCCATAACAGCGGAGGAGAGTGCAGAGTTCATCCAACTGCCCGCCAAGACCGAGTCCTTCCAGGCCGAATCCCCAACCAGAGCGAACTACCTGCCCAAGCCGGGTAAGTCAGCGCTGAACCGGCCCAGTTCGTATATGGAGAACACAGAGATCCGCAGGAGTAAAAACATGTTGAGGAGGAAGCCCCCGGGGTTCTTTGCTACCAGGTTGGCTCAGATCCGTCTGCCCAGCAGGAAGCACCTGGGCGTGATCCTGCAGGACTCCCGCTGCTTCCTGTTTTGCATGTGCTACCTGACCTTCATCCAGTCCCTCATGGTGTCCGGCTACCTCAGCAGCGTCATCACCACCATCGAGAAGAGGTACAGCCTCAGGAGCTCCGAGTCCGGCCTCCTGGTCAGCTGCTTCGACATTGGGAGCCTCCTGGTGGTCGTCTTCATCAGCTACTTTGGTGGGCGAGGCCAGAGGCCTCGCTGGCTGGCAGTTGGCGGGATCTTCATTGCCGTGGGCGCCGCCCTGTTCTCCTTACCTCACTTCATCTCGCCGGCCTACCAGATTCAGGAGGTCAACTCATCCTCGGCCAACGAGGGCTTGTGCATGAACAGCAACGCCAGCGGCAGGGACCGTGTTGACATCACTTCCTGTCCCCGAGACCAGGAGGGCAATGAGCACAACCTGTACGTGGCGCTGTTCGTCATCGCTCAGATCCTGGTGGGTATGGGCTCCACACCCATCTACACGCTGGGACCCACCTACCTTGATGACAACGTCAAGAAGGAGAATGCCTCGCTGTATCTCGGTAAGAGCTGGTGTTTGGGGTCTTTGGGTTGTTCTGACTAGAAGAACCAGGTTCTCATCATTCAGTAAAATGCAGGAGCTGCTCAGCCGCAGCAGTATTATTATCAAACTAGAAAAGCACTCGGAGAGCGCCTACCTTTGTGATTGTGATTTCCAGCCAATGTTAAAGTCCTGCATTCATTTTATCTACAGTATTAGATTCATGGAGAATCAAAACATACCGTTAGCATTTGAATTAACATTGATATCATCAATAACAAGCTGACGGAGTAATGAACGGTCGTTCTGTACTCTCAGATATTTTGTACACTGATGTTATTTCTGCTGTTCCTTACTGGCTTTTAATCTGTTAGGTAACGCTATGCTAGGTTGGCATAACTACAGCGATGTTATTGCTACCATAAACAGACAGGGAGTAGCTTAAGCTAGGTTAGCACAATTTTAGCAATGAAATGTAAATAAAAAGCAAGACGGATACAACGAAGCACGCATCAGTCATCATGACACATGACAAAGAGAGTTAAAGTGAAACAGGAGATATGCTGAGTCATTGTTAATGTCACAACGTGGCTATGAACATATCTGTCAGTAGCTCCTCTCAGCCCACTCCTGTGATGCTGCCTGACTGTAGCTCACTCCTGTACTACTGACAAGACAGCGGTGAGGACAGAGGACTGCAAAGGAATCAGAGCTCCATCTAGTGGACAAATGGCACAGCGCAACGACAGCATTCTGTGCAACTGTGACACTTAACAACATTTACTGTTTTATGAGAGAATAACCAGATGGTAGTCCAGAACATCACCAAAAAGTAATCATCTGTTCATTGTGCCATTGTCAGCATTTCTTGAAAATCCGCTCTTAACTTTTCGAGTTATCTTGCTAACAATCAAACAAACAGATAAACAAATAAAAACATAACCTCCTTGGCGGAGGTAACTAGTGCAAACAGACCAACGCTTCAACCCCACTGTGTCCTCATCAGAGTCCTTCAGGTTGTTTCAATCAACGTTCACTGCAGCTTACAACATTAGTTGGTTTATACTAAAGTCAGTTCTCGATAGATAGATAGATAGATAGATAGATAGATAGAGATCAACCAATATGGGTATATTGGGGCCAATGCCAATTATTGGTAATTAAGAAAAGCCACTAACCGTTATTTGAAATCAACATTCACAAAATAGATCAGTTTGTCTCCAGCAGTTACATCTGCTGTTCTCAGTTTTCTTAATAGTTTACTGTTCTGTCACTTTTATTTCCCACTGAAGTCCAGTGTTCAGTATTCAATATCTTTCATCAGTTTCTTGTCCAACCAAACACAATAAACGTCACAGCTCTGAGGTGGTTGATCCAAAGTCGAAACAGTTGACAGCTATTTTTCTGTTGATCGTCTGATAGATTAGTTAATTATTTGGTGCAGTTCAAGTTTAGGACATAGCAAACATCCAGGCAGGTAGAAGAAAAGTGAATTACACAGCAGTGGATTGAAAAGTTGTGTATGTTTTTGGTGCTTTTTTATGCTTGTGAGTCTGAGCTGCCTTTGCATTCCAGTGTAACAGCTATAGACTGTAGCTGCCAACCTCCACAAAGATGCAGCACTCTTCAAACCTGTACCTGTTGAGTTTATATTTAAAACTCAGGTTCTCAGTGAGGCCATCCTGTGACTAATGTACTGAGGTGAGATATTTTTAAAGCTGAACATTGAACTTTATTACAAAAGACTAAAGTTGAGCTCATAACAGCAAACTGTGAACAAAAAACTTCATGAGTTTATTTATGAAAAGCACGTCTTTTTACCTTTCTTGTGAATTTCTTTTAGTTGATGCTGACATGCTGCATTGCCACAAGTATGTGGACGCCTGTGACTACCGTTCAAAAGCCATAGACTTTTAACATGCTGCTATAGCAGCCTTATGTGAAGGCTTTCCATCCAATCTGGATCTGCTTGCAGGGATTTGCTTCCATTCAGACGCATTAGAGTCACTGAGGTCCAGCGGTGATGTCGGATGATAAAATCTGGCTCACAGTTGGCTTCAGATTAACCAGCACATGGTTTGGTTGCTCCCTTGTTGGTGTTACTCAGCCTTACATGCTGGCGAGTAGTTGTTGTAGTTTTTCGTTGATGTTAAAACTGACAGTAACTTGAGACTTTGCAACATTTACAAATATTTTTCTGTGAAAATATGTTAACTTTGTCATCTGTCTTTGTCCTGGAGGTTGTCTGATATCACTCCTATAAGCTGGACACCGGCTGCTTGTCCATAATAAGACCGAAACGCTACATGTGGAGGCTAAATAGATGCTAGTTAGTTATCTCTGCTCAGAGAAGCTTCTAGTCTCCACTCAAATTCTTCGTGCAAGAAGTTGGACAGGTGTGAGACCAACAATTAGTTTGACAGAAGGCGTCCTAATGTCAGATTTCTCCAAGCTGAAACCAAGAGAGCTTTCTATGAGCAGAGCATTTTAACCATCAGTATCACAATCAGCCATATTCATTCAGTTGTGGGGAGTTGTGATGAATCTTCAATTAATCCTGTAGCCCCAGTTCTGCGTTAGCCATGGTAAGAAAATTTAGTATTTTGCTTCTTCACTGGTTCAGTCAGTGTCTCACTGCCTGCCCGTCCATTTTCATCATCAGGAGTATAGTTCCTCTCCACCAGCCTCCACCTCTTTCTTCTTATTTTGTTTTTTAAAATAATCGTCTGGCTATGGAACACTTCATCTCACGTCAGGCAGGGAGAGCCAATGAAAAAGAAAAAAGTTCTTTAGACTAGGGCTGGGCAATTTAGTTGAAAAATCTATCACGATAAAAAGTTCATTGACAAAAATCATTGGTCATTTTTCATGACCTCTTTTTAAGAAATACCAGCAGAAAAAACATGTTTTGAATTCAACCATCCTTTTGTACACAGGTAACAATTTTATTTATTTACTTGAAGTGTCTGTCGCCGATACGTATCGCGACTGATTTGCTGCCAGGTTTCAACCACAATAGCAAGCATAGTAGGTATGCTAATGGTCGTCATGCTCTTGCGCAAATCCAACCATTTTAACCTGCACACTCTCAAAACTTGGACGCATATGCAGCCATTTTGGTTCGAGCTCTAAGACAGTCAAGTTTCCCAACATCAAACTGGTAAAATCATTTCTTTATATCTTGCATATTGACATGTTGAAACAGGAAAAAGTTTTCTCTGAACTGTTGCATTGATCTTGGATGCACACTATTGCCTAACCGCTGTCTTGACTGGTCACACCAGCACATTAATTGGTCGCCCACTTGCTTGTGAAGTAGATTTTTTCACACGTCAGAAATGAAATGTTATTTTGCTTGTTGGTAGGGAGAAACTTACTGAGCCAGTGAAGAAGAAAAAGTACGATTTTCAACCACAGTGGCTCGGTAGAGGGACACCAAAGCAGCCAGATATTATCGTGCACTTGCACAAATGCAATCACGTGAAATTTTTACTTGCACAGTCTCAAAAAAAAGTTTGCATATGCAGAAATCTTGATTACAGTGTGGAGTCCTGGTTCAACGGTCGCACTGAGTTCCTTTTGTTGGCCTCCACCTCGGCCTACATATCTGAGACTTACTCCAGAAAGTTCTGCAGCCAAATCAACTGTGTGACCTCAGGACTGCCTCCCTCTTTCTGTTCCCTTTCACATGCTTCCCCAGAAGTTCTCGCCCCAGTAGTCTCAAACAAGGTAAAGCCTAATTAACCCAGCAAACGAGAGTTGGGTTATGAAAGAGTAGGGGAAGGTGGAGGGAAGAGGGCAGGTCTTATGTGCATTCCTTTTGTTGAGGGGGGGGGAAAGTAAAAGTCCCACAGAGGCTTGCTGTGGTCCGACCTCTTTGTTCTTTTTAAAACAACCACAGCAGCAAAAAGGGAGAAGCTTTGATCAGTGGAGCAGCTGGATGGTGGTACAGTGTCAGCGCGAGAGCGAAAGCCGATTCAGAGGGTTTGGTTTCCAGATGGTAAAATAAAATAAAATGGTATTTAGTCAAGAAACAGTTTAGAAATGAAGCTCCTTTGGCTGTAAAATGCAGCTCATTGGTCTTAGTTTTAGGTGAAAAAGACATTTGCAAAGAAAAAAAAAAGAGAAATTCCCTTGTAAAACACGCTACTCTGCAAAAGGATATTGACATGTAAATCTGTCAAAACAAAGCAGAAAACAAATTGTCTGGAAGATTGTTGGAAAGTCAAAAATTATTTTAACGACATCTTGATTGTTTGGGGAATAACTTAATTAATAGTGACTGGGTTTGGCTGTAGTTTTTGTATTGTCTGACAATTAAATGGGCACTTAAGGGATCTCACAATCACACAGATCTTGTCTTTGTTTTGGCCCTTCTCGTGTTTCCCAGGTCACTGTTGCAATGATCCTTGAAGTAATTCAGGTTAGGTGGGAAAAAACAAATGGATATGTACCAGTGAGAAACACTTCATCAATAAGAAAACAGTTTGTCAGAATGTTTGACAGTTTCACTTAAAACGAGCATGAAAGCTCGTAACAAAAACACAGTTGCTTGAACAAACTCCGAGCATCCTCCCTCGATCATAAATGGTCAATCATACCTTCATAATGGAGGCTCTTTGCCCTCCATCAGTTCATTCTGTGGCTGCCTGGACCTGTGATACAGGCTTCATGGTCTAAAACCTCCCAGGATTCTGTATCTTGGTGATGTGCTCCACCTGCTTGGGACTGACAGAGTTGACGTAGGTTAGCTCGTGGATGTTGATGTTGGATCTCCGTCGGGTGATACCCTGTCCAGTCCAGCCACTCTGAGCCTTAACCTCTGCTCAGTTTGACAGCTTTGTCCTGGTCGCCCTTGGTGCACCTCCAGGATATACTGGCTTTTTAAATGTCATTGTACCGTACTACATTTACCCTGGTAAATTTGTCAGCTGCCTCATGCTCTAACTCCTCCTCCTTGGATGCGGACGGTAGTCAATGTTCTGGTAACTGCAAGGCGACTCCAACCAGCATGTGAAGAAG